ACCCCACAACATTTCAAATGATATCCACAAAGAAATGAGTAGGACTTACATGTTTTAGCAGGAATGGTGAGAAACATCCAGCAAGTAGGTAACACATTAGACTACCGTGGGTGAAAAGACAGAAGTAGCATCAGCTGGCTCAGGCCACCACGGGTTGACTGTATTTACACCTTGCGGTGCTTATCTTGAGCCAAGCAAGAGCAGCTGGGCTACCTGGTGTGCTCCTTCACATCTGACAAGCAACTAAATTGGGTTTTGTGGGAAATGGAGGCTTATTTCAGCTACTCTGTGGATATGATAGCTGAAATCCACCTTTGCTGGCACAACAGCTGTGTCTCTTTCAGCTGTGCTCCTCAAGTCTTAGTCTGGTACTCAGCAGCAACTGGAAATAAATCCACAGTCCTAAGACACAGGTGGGAGGTTTGCTGAGAAGCTGTGAACAACCCTGTGACAGTCTGTGGTTTGTGAAGACATGGAACAATTTCAATTTCTCAAAGCTTCAAATATTTCTACACCAGGAACTTCAGTAGCTTTAAGGAAAACTTTACAAAGAAGATATTTCACTAAGAATTATAGAGTTTACTGTCTTGGTATTATAATTGTTGCTGTGAACTAACATTGCATAGCTAAGAAGGACGTGAACAGTAAAAGAATCGTGTAATTGTTACCCGAAGAATAACAGGGAAATCACTTTAAAGTCATGAGCAGGGTGAGAATTCAACTGAATTCTGAGTGCAGGACTGAATTTTCTGCATGACACCACCTCTATGCCCCAAATTTTAGAAAGTCGGGATGAAGCAATGGCCTGACTTTGGAAACRCAAAGAAAAGATGGTGTTTCTGTATGGATACGAGAATCATTGAGGCAAAAGGAAAAAAAGTGTGGCTTTAGACATACAGGAGTGGGTCCATTTTTACCAGATCCCTGGCCACTATCTGTCAAGAAAGCCATCTCCATGATTTTCTATTTTCTGGAAAGTAATATATGATTTTTTGTTTGTATCTGTGARGTTCTTATATCTTTTCTTTTTTTAAATGACAACGCACGGATTGCTCTTAAGCCAGAGAGACTGTTTTAAAAGAGAAAACTCTTTCTCCTTCTTAAGAGTACTTTTGCCTATGCAATCATATAAAGAAAATATTTGCTCAATCAAGAGACACTAGTGAGACACCTGGTCATGCTGTAATTAGTACTGAAGTACTGTATGCTAACTTGGAGATTCACAGCAGGTTAAACAGGAAAGAAGAAAATCATTACAGAGTGCCTCAAAGGCTGAGGAAGGAAGTAGGAGGTATTGGGTTGGACTGTCCCCAAAAAACCCAGGATTTTAACTGCAGTAARAAAAATGTCCTATATGTTGAGTTATCTTAACTTAAAGCTAAGAGGAGTTTCTCCCACGGGCTTTGGAGTGGAGCTGGTATCTAGCCCTTAGTTCCCACTTTTTACTAAATGTCTAAAATGAGAAATTACTTTTTAACTTTTTTATTGTTTTACCAGTACAGAAAATAGGCACATATTTCTCTCTAAATCAAACAGGATCCTATTTGTTTCATTTTCTAAAGCAGTGGTCCCTGGATAACTGTAGTAAATCTGTCACTTTGCATGCCCAGTAATGATGAGTAGCCAGATGAATGGATTTACTCTTTYGGTGAGACACACTGTAGAATTTAACATTAATGGTGCATATTCGTCTCTGTGATAGGGCAGTGTTTATTAGCTATCAAGGCAATAATAGTCTGTGCTGTGCTGCATGGTAAGTCTGGGGGTGTTGTGCTTGCCAAAGAAATTGTGCTCATTATGTACCAGCTCTRAATCAGCGCAGCTTTACAGTGTCCTCTCCTCGCTCTGCCACAAGTGCCACAGATTGATCAAGAAATTACTGAGGCTGGAAGCCTTTAATTTTCAGTTCATACATGTAGTATTAAGAGACCTTCAGATTAAGCCCAACAATTTGGCACAACAGTGAATGTCTAGGAGCAAARGGTTTTCCAATAGAGAGGTCTGAACCTCCCAGCGGCAGGCCAGCGAACACTTGAACTGAAATATTGTGGTGGCTGCAGGGCACTGTCTCGTCTACAAACACCCCTCTCCTAGCAGTTACACAATTAAGAGATATCTCTCCAAATAACTCTTTATCTAGAAATTTTCTTTCTCTTTTTAATTGCAATTTCCTTACTTAGGAAAGTCCAGCGACTTTTAAAATCACAAGATGCCTCCCAGGATGGACAATGTACCCCAAACCTAACATCGTCCCTTTGGTGCTCCTGTCTGCCTCCTTTCTCCTCGTCCTGCTGCATGTGATGGCTGGTTGGGCCTGGGGCCTCAGCTGGCCAGACTAGCTGTGACTAGGGGCAGTCTGCACTAACACTGCATTCCTCCACTGCCTGCCCAAGGAGCTACTGCCTGCTCTGTTGTGATTCCAGCAGCAGCTACGCTGTTACCCCCGGCTGTGCCGCCTGCTGTGGAGCTGACCGTGTGTTAGCGCAGGGTCCTCTGCTCCCCAGCCCCTCAGGAGGCCTGAGACATTCACCAAGTGTTCTGCTGCTGCATTTTTTTTTGCTGGTGTCAAGCTACAGCGTGGCTTTTAGACATGTTTTTAATCTAATTTGAAGATTATCAGAAACTCAGAAACTTTGCTATTCTTCCAGGAGAACTTCACTTTCCCAAAGGAGCTTAATAGTTGGAAAAGCCATTAGAGCACCACCAAAGGCTGAAGTAGGCTACAAAAGTGCAATTTCTTATACCTTGGTCATCAAAAAAGGATCTTTATCCATGGGTATCCTCTTGTAATGAACAATTACTCAGAAAAGCCTTTTGCTCATTCCCTCTTCCCTGTGGATCTTCTCATCCTCTTGGGCCAGCTCCTTGGGGCCCAGGGCCAGTCCTTTTTCCCTTGAGACTTTCAGCAGTGTTTGATGCATGAGCCAATGGAGTCATGTGAGTTAAAATCAGACAAAAAATAACCACAGTAACCCAGGGACTTTTGATCAGGTTTGGTTGTCTGTTGTTTTCAGATCATTTGGAATTAAATTGCTTTGTATGTCATCCTACTAAATAAAGGTCAAGCTTCAGATAGCAGAGAAACCTTAAGCCTCATGMCTATAAACAGCTGTGACTAGATCAGACCAATATAGAGAATTCATCTTTTTTTTCTTCCTTTTTCTTTCAGAAGTGAATATTTTTCAGACTTCCTATCAACATAGGAATACCATGATAAATCAGCTGTTTGGAAAAAAATGTCATTTCAGTACAATGARATCAACTTTTTTGTTCTGGAATCGCTAACTGACATTGAAGGCATTTGACGGAGTGTGGAAATATTTGCTAATGGCCTTTTTCTTTACTCTCTGTGGAAATATGAACTTCTGGCCCTCGAAGCTCTAAAGGCATTAAAGTACCTCAAACTAAGAGATTATTTAGACTTCTCACAAACTGATTGAAGGATTCACAGTGACTGGAATCTAAATTATCTCAGAAGGATGCCCATGTGAAAGGAAAAAGGAGTCTTGAAAAGCAGGGAAAGCCCTTCTGTGAAAAGAAGTTTTCYGTGAGGAATGTGTGAGGGTTGAAGGAAGTCCATGAAAGGTTTGCTGATCTAACAGCTGAACCATTCAGTAAGCAAAAACGCCAGCCTAAGTGCTAGGTAAATTCTTTATTTCTTTTCCTTTATGGACGGCTATATCTCTATAAATTGCTGTATAAACACTGTCCTCTTGGACGTGGTAAGAAAATATCCTTATTTTGTCTTCAAGTGCTCCCCCAAATTCCCRTCTAGTAGCACAGGGCTCCGAGAGGCACTTTAGCATAGCAAGGACATGGGCAATTCAGGTGGAGCTGCAGAGAACTTGTGATGATGTGTAATTGTGTTTGCGAGCAAAACAGCCAGCAGCTGAAGCACAGCTTTGGAAAAATACCCAGAGAAACAAAATCTCTCTGGGAGGTGCCTGAGAAAGTAGGAAATTGCAGCGATTTGAAATAAAAAAGGTTTTATGAAATTTAATACACTAGGCAATTCACCAAGGCAACGAGATTGACAGTTTTCCAGGAAATTAGCTTTGCTAGAAGATAGTAAATGAGTGACCCTCTTCTGATCTTTTCCATTTAGGCTGTGGGAGCTGCAGGATCACTCAATGAACAGCAGCTCCTTTATACCTTGTGTAGAAATAGAATAGCTGATCTGGCTTCATTTGCACTGTTTTTGTTGTTGTTGTTGTTGTTTTAATCTAAATATTTTTCTCTTGCTAACTCAATGAAAAACCACACAGAACGTGCCCTCTAGGGGCAGCTGAATTATGTTGTCAGCTTACATTATTGTCTTGCTTCTACATTTTTGTATTAGTTAGATAATGACTGTGGACCCAACTAGAGCCTTCCAACTCGCATGGCCTCTTGCTGACCGTGGCTATAGCCAAAGGCTCATGGTGCTCTGTGCTCCCTGTCCCACTAKGGTCGCCAAGAGCTTTTGCTTCTAATTTCAGCTAGAAGGAAGTATTTGGAGCTGGACTGCCAGTTCCCGCTCCAGGGCAAGTCACACAAGCCTGGATCACTGGACGCAGCAATGATGGAGGCACCTTCCCTACCTCCCAGTTTTGGTTGCACACATGGTGCTTGCTGGAGCACATTACGCAGTCTTTGGATTGCTGCAGCTTGCCATCTGGTCCTGGAGCTGTCACTAGCACCACACAATGAAGATGTGCATAAAACCTAAAACCATGCTGAGTTATAAACAGAAAGGACAGGACATTCACAGCTGAAGACAAGCATCACGGAGGAAACCTAAGCAGGGTGTATGAACTGAAGGCACCTCTGGTCCAGGATAGGATTTCCTTCAGTGATGCTCTCTAGACAAGCCCAGCAGTTTGTGTCATGTGGATCACAGACAGCACCAGGGTCAATTTTTCCCCCATCTGTCTGATTCCTTCCCAAGGCTGTTGAACTGTAACTTTCATCATTCTTGGAGCAGGAAAGAGCTTACCTTTGATTAGCTCTTTCAGTGGCTTCACAGCACAGCAGAACAAATAAATACTGGTGTGTGTGGAAACCTCTGAGGAAGAAAGATACAAGCACAAAGTGTGAATTTTTTTCGGCCTTACCACATTGCACATGAGAAGAAGGTGTATGTTACATGTGTGACACTTGGAGAAATAACGAAGAAGGAACTAAACTTGAACTTTCCCAATTACTTGAAAGAGAAATGTTAGGCAAACATGACCATCTCACAAACAGGCCTACTTCTTTTCCAGTCACCTGTAATTCAGAGATAACTATTTGGTCTTCCTATGTTTAAATGTTGTGTATTAGTATGTGGAGTAAAAGCAGYATAGCTAACTGGCATGTTGCAGACCATAATGCTTAAATGGCTGCTATGTTTCAGTTTTTACGCAGTACAATTGCTGTGTAACCTCAAATCTATTTATCCAATCCAACTTTTACAATAAAAGCAATAACTYGAGTTCATACTGGCAATCAGTACAGTGGCCACTGCAGAGGAAAGTCAATGTTTAAAGCCAGTGTTTCTTCAAACATTGCTTCTTCAATTAAAACCAACCCAAACAAGGTTAACTGCTTTATCTGAGGAAAGCTTAACACGCAGGTAAGAGAATGAGTTTAGAAGTGGACTAAAAGGTCATTGAAATGCTCTAAACAATTCAAATGAAGTGGAGTTCAAAATTTTCTAGAAAAGCCTTGATTTTCTAAGGTATATGGGATGCAAATTTATGGGACAATTCCCTTGGTTGTCATGTTAAAGTAATTTGACTGTGCAGTCACTTCAGAGCAACCATCCTCAATAAACAAATTTACTGCTACCYTGTGAAGTGAATATGAAATCATGTGTGTATTGAAGCAGCAAGAAAAGAACAACTCCTAAAACCCTATTTTAAAATCTGCTCCCCCCAGTAATTATTAGATGTTACATGAAGATAAAAAGCTCCTTGAATAAAAGATACAGCACTGCAAATCATTCCAATTTGTCATGAATGCTAATAGGAGCCTTTACAAAAAAATCTTCTGAAATAAAAAGTTCTGCTATAACTGTAGATGACCCACCTTGARCTAAAATAAGCCACAAAAATGGATTTTTTTTTCTTGCAGCAACTTAGATGATAAACTAAGATGATTCACCTATATCAGGGAATTGAAACACTATCTTAAATAAATTTTTCCTGGAACCAAGACTCCTGAAAAATTGTGCTATTCCATCCATAAGGGATAGGAAAAGCACAACTCTTGAAATCTGGATTCCAACAGGTCCACATTCTTTAGCCCTTGGGTTTCCAAATACGTGATGGTAACCCCAGCTCTCCCCATGGCTTCTGCCACGAAGAACCTCAGAATCACAGAACGGTTGAGGTTGGAAGGAACCTCTAGAGACTGTCTAGTCCAACCCTCCTGCTCCAGCAGGGATACCTAGAGCACACGGCACAGGTGGGTTTGCAAKATCTCCATAGAAGGAGACTCCACAACCTCTCTGGGCAGCCTGTTCCAGGGCTCTGTCACCTTCAAAATAAAAAAGTTCTTCCTCAAATGGAGATGGAACTTCTTGTGTTTTAACAGGACCTCTTGTCCTGTCACTGACCACCTCCCAGAARAGTTTGGCCCCAAATCTCAAGCAGGCCAGGTGCAGAGGGGAGCTTTGCCTGAGCCCATCAGTCTGCAGGCAAGGTGCTCACTGGCCTCTTGGCTGCTACCTCTCAAAATGRCCTGGAAAAGCTGCCTGCTTGCTCCTTTAGCGGGACTAACAAGTCAGCTCTCTTCTGTTCAGCTTCTAATTCTCTGAAAAACGAAAGAATTTGATTGCCTTTCCAGACTTTGAAATGTGGTTGAAGTTAACAAGCTCAAATTTACTGGGGAGGCAATCGGCCATCAAAATGAGAAAAGGTTTAATTTGCTTGAGGAAACCAGGCTAAAATGTGCAACTGAATCATACTGTATGTGTTAAGGGCTTTCAAATACTTGAGTGCTGACACTTGGCTCACTTTCCCTCCCTGGCCCTCCAGTGGCAGTAAAAATGCAGATGCTCAGGACGTTTGCCTGGAGGGATGCCCCAGGCTCAGCCTGGGATGTGTGCCCCTGCAGAACTCCTCCGTGCTGGCCGGCTGGGACACGGTGGCAGGTAGTCACACAGCACTGTGCTCCAGCAGCCCTCCTACCTGAGCAGCACCTACGTGCTCTTTCATCTAGCACAGATGAACGAAATTTATGCTCCTCACAGACCTCGGCATCCTAAAGGTGAGCACTTAAGTAAGAAGAGGAAGCGAYGTGTGCATCTGTTCCAGTACAATTCTAGGCAGTTTGAGAAAGTAGGGTGCTAAAAAAGCAACATCTGCTTTCTAGGAAATCAAAATGCATCAGTGTTTTGCATACACTTCAATATCAGGCAATGGAAAGTTTTGCAAATAAAGCCTTGTCTGGGTACCCACCTTTTTCATCTGGCAACTGGCAGGGAAGACATGGATGGCAGGAGCAGCTTCATATGAACAAAGCCACTGAATAATTCAGTATCCTCTACCTTGCTGTGATGAAACGGCCTTTTGCTGAGTCTCTCTTGCTGAAAAATGACCGGGAGCCACTAAGCTGTCAGGCAATACTCCATTGAAGAAGGGATTTGGGGGATTAACACTCACCAGATCAATATTGTCATATTTAAACAGCATCTGAAGATACTGTTTGATGGCTCAGAGTGCCAATTTGGGAAAATAATCGCCAGTTAGAGTTCGGACCGTGTCTTCATCTCATTTTATGACATTTCCCCATGGTCTGGCTCTTTGTGGAAACAAATCATTATTCTGGAAGCTTGTTTATGATGCTGTTCTCACAGTCTGAATCCATAATGCTGAAAATGCATTCCCAGAGATCTTATGAATGCTGTGAGAATTGATTACATAGACTCACCTATATAGAAAAACCAGAGAAGGTCAGTGTGCAGTTAAYCTCCTTATTCTTTGGCTTTTCTGCTGTCACTTCTAAAAAACATTTGAAGATTCTTCTTCCCAGACTGCATTCTTGATTTTTTTCCATCTGTTTTTTCTTCCTTCTTCCTGTAATGAGGTTAAACTTTGGAGGTGGAAGTTACGTTAAATAACATTAGTAGTTAAAAATTATATCCTTGAATATAGTTTTGAAGGTTTTATATAAAAAGTTTTTTTATACTGTTGGTTGAGAATTACTTCAGAAGTGTTTACAGGAAAGTGCACCGGGCATGTGACTTGGGGACAGACTGAAAAAGGTGCCAGTATCCAGAATGTCAACCTCTGCTCCTTGCTTGGTTGAGGAGACTGAGCAGCAGCAAAGCAAATYCTCCACCAGCGGCATGTGCTCTGGGGTCACTTGATGTGCACATGTACAGCAAAACATTAATTCCTGGGAGACCATTCCCGTGGGCATGTGCACATGGCTGCAGCTAGCCAGAGGCCTCTGAGATGCTGCACCACATCCACTAGCCTATCTCACTAGAAAAATGTACGTGATTGGCCTCGGAGCATGCAAGTCACTCCGATCCTGTGCTGATGACAGCTGTATTGGGAATTACGGGGATGTTTGAAATGAGCCCCATTTCGCTCTGATTGCACAAATGCACTGTTTCACAAATGCTTSCCACAAAATGGTCCCATTTTGAACTCCTGGGTGATGAGCTGTCTGCTAAATGGCCCAAATAGCAGCTATGTCCTCTGCCAAGCAATTGAAAACTTGGAAACACATCCCATGAATGGCATAAGCAGGTGTTGCACTTCAAGGAAAAGGTCACGGGCCCAGAGGGGCTGCCAGTTGCTACTATTAACCTAGTGTTAACCTGGTTTTCTCGTGGTCCTCTTCATGCTGCTCTTCAGACTATAAGGCAAGGTCCTTCTGGAAACTTTATCTCATGCATCCGTAGCTCCTCCTTAGAGTTTTAACTGGTCACAGGGTGGTAGAATTGAAATTGTGCCCCAACAACTAAGTTTTCTTGCCAGAACAGGAAAGAAATACTATATTCCCTCAGAACATCCCCCCACAAAACGACCTGATTAAGTGAAACCATTGCATCTTTGCCTTTTTCTAAGTAGCAGACATGCTCTTTTTTGACCGTAGTTGAACTGAAAAAACAATTGAGTCCTGAAGAGTACCTAGAGTCTTAGAGACCGTTAGCAAAGGATATTTACAGTATTTGCTCACAGCACATGCAGAGCTCTCTTCCCCCAAGTTTGGGAAGTGCTCGGCCTCCCGCTGGGTAGAACATTCAGAGAAACTTATGTTTGAGCAATGGATTTCCTATGCCTTAATTTTATTACTGTAGGGAGATTAGTTTCTGTTTATCTCATTGTCTCCACCAGAGGGAGAAATCCACTGAGCAGTAATGGGCCCTGTTTATAGGATTATGTGAGTCTCTGGCACTGTTCCTCTGAGAATCTGCAGTAAGAAATTAGTAGATTTTGGGACAAAGTGCATGCAAAGAGCTCTCCCATCTTATTTCCTTTTAGGCTTTTTGTTTGTATAGGGCATCTAGTGATCAAGACAACAGCATCTATGAATAGAAGCAAAATCGTGGGGCCTCTGGGCTGTGACCACGTTTCTGACAGTGCTCTGGACCACCCCTGGGCAGGACGGCATGGGAAGCATGCTAAGAGTAACCAAGTATAGTCTGTGCTCTACAAAAATAAATACACACACACACACATATATATATATATAAACAAAAACAACAACAACAAAAAAAGAGGAATAATGAAATTAGCTGATTTAGTCCTAGGGCAGATTGACTTTTTGCTACCAGATACTTCCTTTGCCTCTTTGGAGCTCCATCATGGAGATCCTCCCCCGCCACACTTTCCTGGAAAGCTCTCCCAGGGTTTGCTGTTCTCCCTTCAGATAATTCAGATAGTGCCTGATGCTACTAAATAGCATCAGGAAGGGGAAGAACTGGTTGCTGTTTCTGAGCTGAAAGCCATTAATTATTTCTATTTGTCTATCATGATGGAAGGTTGTCACTACTCTGTACAGAGCTGAATGTCTAATAGGCTGTTTTCTCCTTGATGCCCACTTTCTGCTCTTTTTTAAATACTAACCTCAGTGCCCCTTTTTAGAATTCAACTACTTTGCCATCAAGTAGYAAACAAACTACTACTGCGCTCTGCATGCTGATCTGCACTTGCAAGACATGTTGGTAATAAATGTTACACGCATTCTTCTGTCAAAGATATTAAATCACAGAAGAAATCTACACAAAAATAAGTGAATGAGAGATGTATTCAGAAGGTGAGGAGAAGGTCAGCTCTGAGGGAAGAAGGGTTTGGAATACTAATTTTTAGCAGTGATGGATCGGCATATTCAGTCCTGGAGCTCCATTTTTTGTGGTGTCAAGAGAAATGGATTGATAGTACTAATCTCAAGTTGCTAGCATGATTTATAGACACACACAAAYGTCACGCAAGGCTGATGGGAGAGGGAAACTGGTATAAGCCTGTGTGAATACATTTAATATACTTTGTATGGCAGGTGTTAAATTTTATTCCTAGCAAAATGAAGGAGATAAGCAGTGCAAATTTTAGGCAAACAAAACCTGAATAGGAATGGATGACTCCAGAGCAGTTGGGCACTTCACTGCTTCCTATTTCAGCAACGGGAACACTGGCAGTGGGAACAGAGGCACAGGATGCTTGCAAAACCAAGGCAGCCTTGCACTCCTGCAGTGCAGGATAAGCATCCCTCACCTTTCATCCTGGCCAGATTCTGGAAATCCTGTGTTGAGACATGCAAGTGTGCACTCAAGTTCTGCTGGCAGGATCTTAGTAGGATTTCTATTTTGATCAGAAAATTAGAAAATAGAAGAAAAGGAAAATCAAGACAGGACCAAAGAAAAGAGAGGGAGTAGGTGTAGTAATGGAGCCTAACAATGACAGAAAGAGTTAAGTGAATAGCATATGCACGTAAGCATGGAAGGAAGAGTTAATGACATTCTTTGCACAAATACATGACTGCTCGAGAAGGGCAGTCTCCAGGAATATTTCAGAATATGTGTGTTCTGAAAAATACAATGCTTTCCTCTTCAGCACAAAAACAAGGGTACATTTTGCCTTAATGCTACTATCTCACAAGTAGTTTGACGCAACTAGCTCTAAAAGCAGCTCAAGTTTGCTTACATCAGATATTGCAAAATAGGGATTTTAATCTTCTCTCCTAAGTGATTCCCACCTCCTCTGCTATTAGAAGACCCGGTCTATCAGAAACATTTTCCAAATGATTCTCTTTGTCTTCTTCCATTGTTCATTTTCTCATACTCACCTGTTTATTGGTTTTGAGTGCATCTCCATACTAGGACATCAATTAATTGCCTGTGCAGCACTCTTCATTCTGGCGACACTTCCCATCCATTTTATATGACGAGTCCTGCAGTTAACATTTGGAGAACACAGGGTAAATTATTAGGAATTACGCATAAATGCAGTCTTGTTTGGTTTGGGGTTTGCTTTTGTTGTTGTTGCTATAATAAGGAGGTAAATACAACCATTCAAACAAATAGATGGTTGTCACTGAGTTCACAGAAAAGGCAGAGTAATGACTGGCAAAACTAAGTCAGAGTCAGTTCTGCAAAAGTTTCTAAAATGGGAACAACTGGGCTGCAAACTAAACCAAGTATTAATACATCATTTCATTTCTTGAGTTACATTTCTAAACAAAATTCCTGGGATATATGTTTTGAAATATATAATAAGATATTAAGACATGTTTGACTTCATTTTGTTTTGCGTATAAATCAGGTATAAATTAAATGCCATTGCTTTTTAAATTGTTTTAAACAGGCAGATTTCACCTTTGCAGGAATGCTCACTTCTTTCTCTCTTTAAGTTGCAGCAGGTACATTTCTGAAGGTATGTTCTTSAACTATCATACTCTATCAACAGAATTAGGAGATAATTCTCATCTATAGCTCAGTTAGTCATTTCAAAATTATGCCAAACAATCTCATTTTTGTCATTATGCAATCACATGCRGTTCTTAAAAGTTCCTCTTTATACTTTAGGGCATTTTCAGCATATGAGGGAAACAAATCACACAATCTAGGGAGACAAAGAGGCAGCTGGGAACCATAAACATTGCACTCTTATAGTAGCTGAATTACTGACCCATTTTCAAGCCCTAGGCAAGTCACAGAAGTTTTTACATTTCATTTGTCATTATTAATGGTCTTTCTTTGTCATGTAAGGGAGCAGAAAGGAGAAAAATTGTTTTACTTGCTCTTTGAAAAATTTTCAAACCATTTCTGTTTGCTGTGCTTGCCCATGCTTGGTGGGCCTGGCTTCTTATCCACATTCCACTGAATCTTAGCCAGCTTCTGAAATAAATGTGATATCTTGATAAGAAATGGCTCCTCCACTACATTACTGTTATAGGGTCAGTTTTCACTTAAAACAAAGACTACTTTAATTTTACCCTGAGGGAGCCCAGAGCATATGTGAGAGCCTATGGATAGTGCTTGCTCTGTGTGATGGGATCCTCTGCTCTGGCACCTCCAGCCCGGACATCTGAATCTGTTCGCCAGATACATACTTTAAATGCCACATGGAATTAATGTCACAAACTCTTCTAAACATAGCTAATCTGATTCACAGGAATAGTTGAAATAATTTAGGAATAGGGACTTGACCCTGATCTCTCACATGTTAGGGTAAGACCCAGAGCCCTGGGCAGTTGACTCTTGTTGGAGAGGAACAGTCTTCTTAATGTTCCCCTCAGAAAACCACCCTGGAATTGAGAAAACTAATAAGAGTTTAATCAAAATGGGTACATTCCTATGAACAGTTCTGACATTTTCTCCTCTACTCAAAAAAAAAAAAAAAAAAAAAAAAAAAAAAGGACTGGATCTAACACATTTTCACTTCTCTGCCTTTCCCTTCCCTTCTTCAGGGCTCTAGGCTCTAACATTCCCAGTTGTTACATACACAGAATTGCAAAATTATTCCAGAAGCTCCAGCCATGATCCCACTGAGCTGGATAATTACAATATGGAGGTAAGTGTTCATATTTACCTTGTGTCAAGCAGCATAAGGGAGTACTACTTTATTTTCCTGCACTGAATACAGCCTAAGATTGCAATCTCCAGTGGTAGATATTGTGAGCTCCTCAAGAACTGTGCTTAAAACACTGTTCTTCAAGTCCTCCCTGTTGATTAGTTATATTCGATGAAAGCTGGCTGAATAAATCCCCAGAAAACTTCAGGTATGTCATCTTCTCATGCACTTAAAAATGCAGCGGAAATGCAGACAGTACATAAAAGGCATTGATTTGCTTTCAGACAACACCAATACTGTGACCTTTTTAGAAATACAGAAGCTTTACAAACAAGTGTCCAAAGCATTAGATGTAGTTTTATCTTTCTAAACATAGACTACAYACTATTGCTTATAATAGTATGCAAGTTATACATTTACTTATTAATTTAAAGATTCAGTTTACATTTAATACAAAAAAGAACCCCCCACAAAAGGAAAAATTCCTCTACATACAGGTTCTATATGCACATGTGTAAGTGTGCACATATATAAACCCATGAGATCCCCAGGTTTATCTTGTTTACAGTTTATCTAATCTAACAGGCTCTCTCTAAATCAAGCCCAGCCTTTCCTGCACTCTGCTCTGTGTATAATTTAGGCCTTGCCTCCCAGCATATCTGTTTTGCATGAAAATGAGTGTCTGATGCTGTGCTCCTTCAAAGCTTGTCTGCTGCCTATGTAAATGTGATCGTACTTGCCTGAAGTCTCCAGGTCCTCTCTGCAAAGGTGACTGCAGAAGTTTCCACGTATCAGGTACCCACACCATCCACCTGAGTAAAAGACAAATGATGGGCTTTAGATTTTGTCAGAATTTGGGATTCACTGGAAACACTAATCCTTGCAAATTTGTTTTCTTTATGAATGAGGGAGAAAAGCTGAAATGTTAAAATCTTCTGCTGAGTGAAATATATCTAAAAATCTTACAGACTGACATAACATGACATTTATATATTCCATTACCTTTCAGAATACTTTTAAAGTACATTTGCCGCAGAATAGGGGTTGAACTACAAAAGTAAAATATAGTCTTTCAGAGCGATTCTCATTTGATCAAGACAAGAGAAGTGCTGACAGTATCACCCAGGTGTTTTCAATATCCTAGTGCTAGCTTGGAATGATTTTCCTAATAAATAGAAAAGTATATTCTATAATAAAACTGATAAGATTTTTAGATATATTTCACTCAGCAGAAGATTTTAACATTTCAGCTTTTCTCCCTCATTCATAAAGAAAACAAATTTTCACAGCGTAATTTGACAAGTTCTTACAAAGCCTATCATGCAGTATTAATAACACAGCTCAAAATTTAAAAATATTCACACTAATATAAATGAACAGGCACAAGAGTATTTTCATATTGAAACACTTATTTCAGCCTTTCYAAAGCAGCCCACAATTTACTTAGAGAAGTTTTCAGGGGTGGGGGAGAATTTCATCAAAATCAATAGAATCGAGCGAGGCACAAAACCCTCTGGCTTTCATCAAAACATAATTACCTAGYAGATAGCTGTTTTAACCACAAGTTTCTAAGTAAAGGTGGTTTCTTCCGAGAATTTCATTATTTTAACTGCTCTATATCCATTTGTGAGCTGAAGGATTCACAATGGGTATGCCCAACTATTCAGCAAGAATTATCCAAGGAGAGGATCCAGAACAGAGTGAGTCTGCAGACTGGCAGGAGGGTTTGGCAAGAAACAGCAGAGGAAAAGAAAGAATATAGAAATATCTTAATTTCCTTGTGTTTAGAGCCTTCTTTTCACCACTTTTTATAGTTAATCTCAGAAGTCTATCTGCAATAAAAACTTACATCAACTTACTGTTTATAACATCAAATCTATTATTCCTGTGAACACGGAATCTCTAAATATTTGACTATTTTCACACCTTCCTTTCATATGTAGATGCACTAAGAGGAAATCTTCCATAGCTCATATTTTAAAAATGTCAAGAGCACTTTTAAAATGCCTACTTTTCAATATAAGTGTGTTTAATCTCTGAAGAAAGAATTGTCAAATGGATGGTCTCAGCGTACAGAATGTGATGGCAATCTAAAAACGTTCAAAATGTCATACAACAGATTCAGATGGGCCTTGAAATACTTCAGGGCTCTTAACATTATTGTGATTGTCATCAGAGAAAGATATGATGTCTCACAAAGCTCAATCTACATACTTGTCCTGGAAGGACTGACGCAAATATAGCATTTTTTCCTGAAAAAAAGAAAAAAAAAAAAARARWAAAAAAAAAAAAGGCGAAAGCACCCCATGGTCCATGGGCCTGTGTCAGTTGGTACTGTGCAGCACCTAGGGCCCCAAATCACTATGATTTCTATAGAAGTTTCTAATTTCTCTGTACCTTTTTCTATAAACCTATATAATATAACTCTGGGAAAGAGGAACAAGCACTTTGCAAGACTAGACCATTCATATCGACAAAGCACTTCAGAGTCTCATGGGAAACTTTGCAGTGATGTGAGAGATGATGTGCTCGGGAAAATGAGCTTTTTCCCTATGGAGAACAGTCTTTTTAGCACTACGAAATATTATTTATAGTGCATTGTAGAACACTTTTGAAAGAATACCAGGGAAAACGCATAGACCCTGATTCTCGTATCTTGAAGATAAAATCAGGTCCTGTGCACTTCATCTGAAAAAAGCTACTCAGCACAGAGTGTGAACTGTTCTCTCCCCATGTGAAGTCACACTTAGGTCTGTGACTAGACTCCTCAGGCAGGGGAAAGATGTGCAGATTATGGCCCTGAGCTCCAGTTTGAATCTTTTTTCCAGTCAAGCAGTATTGGATCATTAGCTGACCACTAGGTATCTTGTAAACCTTGTAKCTTCACAAATATGAGCTTATTCTCTAGGTTTCCTTTAGCTTGAAGGTACAKGCGATGCTATCAACCTGATCACTTACCTTTACAGTTCCAGGGACCCAATAAAACTGTCAGTAGATATGGGACACACACAAAGTACTGTCTTACACCTTCCCTTTCAGTTCTYCTGTTTTGTATTAAATCACTTGTAAAGGATCTCATGTAAGATCAGGCATTTCAAAACATGATGATTTTCAACCAGAAGAAAGAAAATGTAGCATCTTACAATGAGATGAAGGGCCACTAAGATGATCTGSAGGGTTTGGGACTATCTGTAGGACTACCAAAAGGTTTAGGAGACTTACCAGCTGACCCTTTAGCAATGCAAAGGTGATCTCCAAGGTTTGCAGCCAGCAGCCTGCAAACTTTCAGTTTTATTCCTGGAACTTTTAGCAATTCCTCATTTTGTCCCTCAAGCATAACTCCTAAATGACTTCTAGAGATTGATTAGTGCTAGAAGACTCTCCAGTACCAACTCACTATGTACAGTGTCCCCCAAGGAAATGGCAAGACAGATTTAAGTAGAAGTTCTCAGTGCTGCAAAAAATCTATGGGTAGAGACATTCTCTTCTGTTATTGGCAACACAAAGTTAGGAACCAAGGCTCTGAATAGCCTTTAAGATTCTGAGTCTCATGAGTATCAGGGAGATTTAGACACCTAGTTGCCATAAAAATCTGGGCTGTGGATTCTGCTTCCTTTCTCTTYTGGGATGATTGAATCATTTCAAACAGCAGAATAGAGAATAATGAATAACAATGTAGGAGTAATCTGGTTTACACAGTGTTATCTTGGAAACAGCAGTGGTAAAGAGCCATTCTTCAAAAATTAGTGGTAACAGGGTCCCGCAGGGTAATGCTGGCAAGGGCAGACGAGCACACGTTAAAGCAAAGCTGGCTGGAGAGCAGCTCTGCTGTAGAGAACCTGGGGGTCTCTGTGCAGTCTGAACACGAGCCAGTGTGTGCCTGGTGGCAGCTGCATCCCAGGCACTACTGAGCGTAGCCAGTAGATTGTGATTATCCCTCAAGAGTCAGCACTCATTAGGTCACTTCCAGRGACTGCATCTGCTCCTCGATTCGCAGTACAGGAGAAACACCAATAAACTGGAGCAAGTTCAGCAAAATTAGTCAAAACGTTTGGGTCTGTAGGATTTGCGCCATGARGAGACACTGAGGGAAATGGCCTGGTTCATCCTGGATAAGAGAAGGTTTTGTGGGACCTCACAGAACTCCCTCCCCAATACCTTGGATAAGCCACCAAGAAGATGAAATCAAGCTCTTCAAAGAGGTGGAAGACATGAGGCAATGTGTGTAAGCTGAAACAAGAGAAGATCACATTGGATCAAAGGAGAAACTTTTTTACCAAGAGGACAGTCAGGTTGTGGAGCAAGTTGCCCAAGTAGGTTGTGCCATCCCCATTCTTGTGGGGTTTGAAGATCCAGATGAGTGAAGTCCCAACTTCTGCTGTCTCTATAGCTGACCCTGCACTGAGCAGGAGGTTGGAGTAAAACAGATAGGCTTCAGGTTACTTTAGTCTATGATCCTATGGTCCTATTTCTTTCCAGGCTCCTTGTTGTTTTTTCTCTTCTCCTTTCTCTTCTCATCTTTTTTTCTTCTTTTCCTTCTTTCTTTCCTATTGTCTTTCTGTCTTCCCTCTTCTTTGTCTCTTCCTTTATGCAGTGTGTTCTGTTAATTTCCCTGTCTAAAGTTCATTTTACCCTTCCTTTTTCTTTCATCCCTAGTGTTTCTTGGTTTAGTTTTCTAAAACATTTATTGTTTGAAGGTTGTTTTCTCCTCCTCCATTTTACTCCATTCCTTCCACCTTCCACACTTCACCAGGTTTTTCTTGTTTCAAGCAACACTGACCTGAACCCTGAAAAATAAAATTGAAAAATAAGACATGAGGCTTTTTAGTTCTCTTTACCTTACTTAATCTACTTATGATGCTCTTTCAGATTTAATATTATTGCTAGTTTAAATACAGCTCGCTGTACTGGAAGAACAATAACTTGACTTGGAGTTGAGTCATTTCTCTCTGTGGCAGCGATTTGTTTTATCAAAAGCAGTTTAGAACATGCTCAGATGTTCATCAATAAGAGATATATTTAGCATTTAGTACAATCAGGGCAAATAAATAGAGCTGTGAGCCAGCTCAGATCTGATTGTGTGCACTGGCAAGTGAGCAGAGGTAATGAAGAGGTCTTGGCCAGGCGTACTGGACAGAGGGTGCTAAACCAGGCTCCCCAGGAAAGAGATGGACTAAGCTACATGTGTGCACAGCTGGTTAATACTGGGAGAGAACAAAGAGAGCTGCCCTGCAGCAGCTATGCCTTAGCCTGTTGGCAGTGGCAAAAGAAAATGCCCCAAGAGCATTTTTCTGCAATCTGAAATGAGGAGGTCTCAACTTTCACTCCCTCAACCGTTTGCAGGTGTTTGTGTGGGAAAGCTCCTCATAGTCACAGAATCCTTAAGGTTGGAAGGGACCTTTAGAGATCATCTAGCCCAACCTTATGAGGATATTATTATCAAATTACATTATCCTCGGTTCATCTTCACTCTCAGCAATGGGAATAAGGCTCCCAGTTGTCAAAGTATCTGAGTCCTGGCAGGGGGGAACCAAACTGGCAGAGCTGCTAAAATCCCAATCACCAGGTCATACAGGAAGGGGAGGCCRGTTACCTCTACCCTGCACGGGGCACCTCTTCTCACTGTTCCGGGACCATGTCCTGTTCCATTCCCTTTAGGCCTCACAGGGCATGGATGAGTTATTACACCTCAGTTTGCAGTTCTACCTGGCATCAACTTTCTGCTTTTGACTCGGCTGCAAACTACTAAGATGTTTTTGAAGTGTGTACTGCAACCTGATTTTTTTTAATAAATGGATCCACAGTTTGTTTGGCATGTCTAGGATTTATTAGGGTATTCATAGGCTATGATAAATTACCTGACATTTTTTTTCAGCACTACTGTGTCTAGAGCTTTCTTTCTAACATCATAGCAGAAGACAGTCAAAAGTAGAGGGTCGTCCCTGGCTGCATTTATCTAATCCAAAATACAGCTTTTAGAGATAGTCTAATGAAAAAAAGAGCAGAAAGAGAGCATCATCTGACAGCATATTAATGCTCCAAATTATGCACATCTTTCTTGACATAGATGGTTTCATTAGTTCCAAGTCAAATTGTATTGATTCTCAATGTTACCCAAAGACAGGCGATCACTGTAATCCAGCTTGCAGAGAAAGCAGAACAGAAGAGAATTTAAACTCTTGACAAGTGTATTTGCCAAACAATCATGCTAATGAGCAGTAGGATAATACTTGTACTGGAGCCAAGGAAATTGAAACACACATAGGTAATTTAAAGATGCCATTTTGGAAAGTAGACGCATGAAAAAAATTGCTATTTCAGTTTCAATCAGGTACATTATGATTATRTAAACAGTTTGAAATTAAATGCTGCCCTCCTGGTAATATACTAAGATATCGCTGCCTTTCAATGGGAAATAGAGTGTTTATATAGTTTTCCAATAAGAGTAAAACTTCTCAAATAAACTTCATTATCTTTACAGGCAAATATACTTCCATACCAATCTTAAATGAAGATACTTCCATACCAATCTTAAATGAAGATATGTTTAGTTAAGATATTCTTTTAACATTTTTTATATATATTTAATCTCTATTTTATATAGACGCTAAATAAATTCTGTGTCCCATTTATAATTTTTATTGACAAATTCAGTTCTCATATAAGAAGCTGAAAACTTTCTACCATCTCCAATAATCCAATGCATCACTGCATTTCTCTGAATGCATTAAGACCCATCTCTATGAACCCTTCTATCTCATCAGTGCATACATCTCTGATAGGCACTACGTAGACTCTAGGATATGCAGTTTGTTTGTTTGTTTGTTTGTTTATTTCCAATAGAGAAAAATCCTTCCTCAAATACCTAGGTGAGGAACAGAAGCCAAATGGTGCAAGCTGAAAAATAATATCGATGAGCCATATCAGAGAAAAAAGATGAAACTAGTTAAGTCTCTCATGGGTCAGATAAGCGAGATGAGGTCTCCAGAGAAACATGTATACTGCAAAGAAAAGAAGAAACTGTAGTGGAGTATCAGTATTGTAATAACATGCAGAAAGCCATAGAGGGATGCTGGATAATCTGATTCTTCCTGTGTAAGTCAAAGCCCTGTAGTTCCAAAGTGTTTTGCATTCCCTCCTGACTCAGGCAGTCTGAATCATTCTGTACCGTGCTTGCAATGTCAAAACATTTTCTGCTGTGACCATCCTTTCATCTTCCCCCATGTAAATCAGAGCCACTTCATCACGACAGACGCATTCAGGGTCTCACTCATTACCAGAATCAACAGTGACAAAAACCTCACGGAAAGACATCTCAGTGGATACAGAATCAGTCATGGAATAGCTAGGCCTGGAAGGGACCTCTGGAGATCATCTGGCCCAACACTCTGCTCAAGAAGGGTCACCKAGAGCAGTTTGCCCAGGTCATACACCCACTCTGCCAGACAAGAGGGAGCAAGGGAGGGATTTTTAGCATCGGGGTCTCATTGCCCTTGCTGTTTACCTTTTGGCTACYTTCTCCAAGCACAGCCTAGAAACAGTTAACTCTAAAGATTGTTCCTAAAGGCAGTATGGAAGAGGCTGTGTGAAATTAGGGCCAAAATTCATCTGTTTAATCATCTTGTTGCTAAACCTTATTACTGACCTTCCCTCTGCAGACAGTTGTGGAAAGTAGGATCTTCCAGTTCTAACTTCCTATTTTGTGCTATAGTTTAGGACAAATCACTTTCTGGAGGGCCCCCTTTCTACCACTCAGCAAACAAGCAGCCTGAAAAGTCAGTATAGGCTCAGTTGCAGTTTTGATTGACTAAAGTCATGTAATTCAGCTCACCTCCTGAAGTGGCCAGTGTCTGCGCGGTCTGCACAGGTTGTCAGCTGCTCCAGGCCCAGAGGTACGTTTACAATGTATTTGCTTCTGTGTTCATGAAATCATGTGTTGAAGGATATCCTGGGGATTTTAGATATCATGCACAACCATGGAAAACCTGTCTGTGAAGAGTCCAGATAATTGCAAAATGACTTACAATACAGCACTGAAAATCTGCTGCAGATACTGCTATTATTATAGTGCAGCTCACTCCACCAACCTGGAGGGAGGGAAAATATATAAAATATATCCATGCTTTTGATGGTGTGTTGAATTTTATACTGAATCCTTATAAAGGCAAGGACTCACATGCTAGGCACAGCTGTGAARCAACCAAACCTTTGTAAGGAGGAAGACAAACCAAATCAATGGTCTATAATTAAAACTCACTAATTTCCAAGCAAAGGTAGTAATTGTTTTCTAGCACTTGGACTAACATATTCAATGCAGGATGACTTAACATTTCTGCTTACCAATTCTGCAGTCTCGTCTTTGCATCCCTATGGGCCAGAGATAGTTGGTACTGCAAAGTTCTGAAAGGTATAAAACAGTGGGTTTGAACCAGCATTTCATGCAGCTGAGGAGCTCCACAGCCTGCCCCYACGGTGTCCAAGAGACGAATCAGGTAAACAAAAAAAACTCCAACAGGCAGGAGAGCAGATCCCAATGACAGCACTTCTGAAAGATTTTGCTTCTATGTTGGCCACTCACAAACTGTAAAAAGGGTGAAAATACTGAAACGACATAACCTGATAGTTGCAAGTGGAAATTAAGTTCAGTTTTGTGACTGCTGAAAAAAAAATAGTGGAGCTACTTGTCAAGAGTTATGATAAATCTTATACCACCTGAAGCCCTTCCACTGAAGTAGAATGGCTTTCTAGTAGAGCATCTATAGTGAACAATGTAACATCTTTCTGGCAACCTCTGAGCTTCACCCCATGGTGGGCTRCCTGGAAACTTTAGCAGGCAGAGCAGAGGTCCTGGATGCCAAGCAGATAGGCCAGTGCAGCACTAAGTCTTAGCTAACCAGGAGAATTAGTTAGTCTGGGACAGTGAGGCATTAGCATAGCTGTATTGCTTCCACTTCCATAGCTGTCTTATGTGAAGCTAGACAAGGAATCTCTTTCTCTTTAGAGAAAAAATGTTTTGCTYAGAATATCCTTAGATGCAATTCTACATGAGCAAGCATTCAGATTAGACCATTACAATGGTCTGTGTTTCTTTAAACTACATCCTCTGTAAGCATGACCTACAGAGGACTTATCYATTTGCTGTACTCTAGGTTACCTCCACTATGCTCTGGCTCTTTTGATGAATGTGTCCAATTTTCCCAAAAATGTAAAATTGTTCACCATTTACTGACCCAATGTGACAGTAATGGGTGCTCTCACAAAGGCTTTGGGAAACATGCAGGTGCTTGAATTTAACTCGTCTTCAATGTGTGCTCTTTCACCCTTAATGGGCGACGTGCCGCAGCGCTGTTATGTCAGCTAAGGAAGGGACTCCGTAACGTAAACGTGGTGAGAGAAATGCCACAAGTCTCTGAAGGGCACATTTAGGGCTGAAAAATACTGCATCATGACTAGTAGTGGGACTCACAGTGCAGAACCATTCACRTAGGTTAACGCTGCCAAGTGTATTACTCAGCATTAAAGTGCACTTCCAAGGGCAGCCTGCAGCACATGTCTTCCTTCCAGTGAAAACCAGAAAGCAAYGGCAAAGTGTGCATTATAATGGAAAATACCAAGCATTCAGCATTACTTTCAAAAGCAAAATATATATTTATTTTCCATCTCACTTTAAAAATGTTTCCAATTATGCGCAAGGCTGAGTTAGCCTTTGCTTGCTGGGTGTGCTCTCCTATCCTGATGGGGACAGTTAGCATAGAGAAAACTAAAAAAAGCTCAGAGAAATAAACTGAATTATATTTTCCACAGTCCTGGCCTTTCTTGGCCCCTCTGTCYACCACTTAATCATAGTCATAGTGACACAGTTCCAGGAGTGATGTTAGGCAAAAAGACATATTGTCCTTCTGTAGTTCTACTCTTAAGGCTGATCAGCACTRGAGCATAGGAGGATTGCAAAGAGTCAACAAGCGAGAAGAGGTGCAAGTGGGTGCTGATGAGCTCATCACATGTCACGTCCACACATTAAGTCATCTGATATGTTTTGACAGCCCCTTTACCTTCCCCTTATAGAGATCATGACCAGTTTGGCTGCTTTGTTGCCTTTTCTTAGTAAGTAATTCAATCCATTTTGATTGAATCCTAGCAGTAGAACTGAGTCTAAGCTGAGCAGACCYCAAGTCATAGGAGTAAAGAACAATTTGGTCATTAGTTTTGAAGTGTTCACTCACCTCAGTCATGACGTTGCAGACAGTGGCRGAATTTGGTAAAACAACCAAACAAAAAAAACAAGAAATTGAAATATTAATGAGGAAAAAGGGGGAAAAAGCAAACAAAACATTAGCAGAGTTAGAGAAAGTGTTTGATCCTATACAAATTCTTCACAAATGTTTGCATACCACTGTGCTCTGAAACAATTAATCCTGATTCCCACCTGGCAGCAAACTGATTCCTGTCCTGTCCCTACCTGCAATGCCAGCAGTAGTTCACAAACAAATTCACATTCTTTTGAATTAAAATGCAGTGAATCTCTTTCAGATGAATCCTTAATGAAGGAAGAAATAGGTCAAAAGGGCACCTCTCGCTCCCCAATGCAATAAAATCTTTTACTTGGTTCAGCACGATGCCTCTGCGCAATGCTGAAATAAATCAGCAGAGAGCTTCCCTGGGACACGCTTTATATGTGAGATAATTTCAACAGAGCTGAAAGTTATCACAAGAGACCTGCTTCTGTTTTTTTCTATACTTCTTGTGATATGGTCCATACCTCTAACATTTGAAATGAATGCACACTAGTAAAACAAGACATCCTCAGAGCTCTACAGGTCTGATATGGTTCAGTTCAMAGTGTCTGGACTCTGTGGGAGCCGACCTTGATTCTTTACTTACTGCTGCTATTCCTAGAAGCAGCCTGTGCCTGTTACAGCAATATATTTTCCATAAAAGTTTATGAAACTAAAACAGAGAAATTTAGAGAGGGAAAGAGTAAAAGAAGCAGGATCTAAGACAGTTTTAATCCTGAAGCAAAACCAACTTTTCTGTGAGATCAGGTTACTGTCTATAGGGGACTGATTTGCACCTTCCTTGGAAATAATTGGCACTTGTTTCTATTAGGATTTTGGAGGAGATGCTCAGCCATGAGGCCTCTTTCTTTTTGTTCCTGGATGGTAAAAATAGGCAGGCCTGGGTTAGCAGCCAGGGACAGTCCAGCTAAAGAATCAAACAGACAAGAGGAGGTTCTTTGTTCATTGACAATAGATCCATGGAATGACTTGCCAAAGGATGCTGGGAATGTAAAAAGTTTGCATAAACTTGAAGGGGACCGAGGTGGATACTCAAAGGCGAGAGAGCAAGAGCCACTGAGTAGCCAAAATACATGAGGCTGACAAAATCCCCTGAGCTCTCTCTCAGCTTTTGCATTTCTACGATTCCAGACAGCTAAACTTTCTGAATCTTCAAGAGGACACCCTTGTGCTTTGAAGCTTTTTTGTTTTAGCATGATTCAGTAAGGTACTGAACATTCATAAAGAGCTAACTGATCTTTCATGACAAAGCAGTTGTCTTTGCAAAATATTTTTTTTTGATCAGAGAGCGTGTTTGCAGAATGTTTGTCACTGAAGAAATGAGTTTATAAGAATGATTTTTTTTTAAGTATCTGATATGAATCTTGCAGGTACTAATTAACTCTTTCAAATAGTATGGGCTTCAAAAAGATTTTCAAAACAAAAATAGCTACCAATGTACCATCAGATTCAAGAATCCTCARATCTATCATCAATCCAGTTTTCCAACCTCAATGAAAATTTCTTGTGCACTCTGAATTAATCCCCTTTCTCAAGATAAAGAGGGGAAAAAAGAAAGCTTGTTATCAATAAGTGCAATTAAAATACTACTTTGGGTTTCAGGGAAAAAAATACTTAGTTTTAAAAAGGTGCAGAGCCTGTAGTTGTCTAATTCCATATGATTCTTTTTCCAAGTATTTGCTGACAGAGAAAACAGAAAGTAAAAAGCAGCAGAAATGTGGGGAAGAAAAATCTTTCTTCTTTTTTCTTTTCTCTTTTTTTTTTAAATCAATATCATTTTGTAGAAGCTTTTGGACTGAGGACTTTTTTGGTCTGGCTTGCCACCCTCTGAYAAACACAAGCGCCTTGCAGCTAGTSTCACATTCTGTATTTCAGATTCCCAGCTCTCTAAAACCCACATTTGTGATTCAGTAAATGCATCTGCTCTGGGAACTGATAGGAGTAGCTAGAACCTCTTTTCTTACCCTATAATCTAATGCACTTAGCTAGCCAATGAATATGTGTGAAAGGAGGGGCTTTCTGGCTAAGGGACTCCTCGCTGGGGAGCAGCTGCTACGACAGCGAAACCTTCGCTGAAGCCAGGCAAACACAGCACATCTCTCAGTGGCTTTGTGTATTTAGGACTGGCAACACAATTCTCCCTCTCTCGCTGCTATAGGCGAGCAAATTAGCACTGAGAAACTTAGAGAAGAGAGGATCTCAGTTGCGAGACCTTTCACAGAACCAGTAATGGCCTGGATCAGCAATACCTCCTGGTTCAATCCCCTTGCTCTACAGGAACATTTTAGGAGATTCTTAAACAGCACYGAGGATTACTTAACCTTCCTGTGTGGGCCCAGACGGAGCCATCTGTTCCTGCCCATGGCTTTGGTCTACTCTCTGATCTTTGTTGTTGGTGTGGTAGGAAACTTCCTAGTTTGCCTGGTAATCATCAAGCACCGGAACATGAAGACCCCAACTAACTACTACCTCTTCAGCCTYGCTGTCTCAGACTTGCTGGTGTTGCTTTTCGGGATGCCCCTTGAAGTCTACGAGATGTGGAGCAACTACCCCTTTCTGTTTGGGCTCGTGGGCTGCTATTTCAAGACAGCACTCTTCGAGACGGTCTGCTTTGCCTCCATCCTCAGCGTGACCACAGTCAGCGTGGAGAGATACGTTGCCATCCTCCACCCACTCCGCGCCAAGCTAGAGAGCACTCGCAAGCGCGCGCTAAGGACCATCGTTGTGCTGTGGGTGCTGTCTGTCCTCTTTGCTCTCCCCAACACAAGCACCCATGGCATCATGTTGCAGTATTTCCCAAATGGCAGCCTGGTACCTGGCTCTGCTACCTGCACTGTGGTCAGGCCCATGTGGATCTACAACTGTATTGTCCAGATTACTTCCTTTCTCTTCTATGTTCTGCCTATGGGGATCATAAGTGTGCTGTACTATCTGATGGGGCTAAGAGTAAGTCCTACTCCAACTGTGCTCAGTGTTTCTCTAGCTCCTTCTTGCATGTGTGTGAGTATGTGTGTGTGTCTGCRTGTCTCTGAACTGTTTTGATATTTTTCTTGCTCACCTCTCTTCCCAAAAAACACATTCAAATCCACCCCCTGAAAGTAGTGGATTAAACTGTTTTGTTGGTGTAATCTCACTCTAAAAATGTAGCTATGTTGGGGAGTAATCTACTTTTTTTTTTTTAAATTACCATCACTGCTGCTGATATTTCAACATGCCTTTAACATCCAAGTCTGTGTACTGATTCCAGCCTCCTAGAGATTTACACCTTCTCAGTAGGGACTAGAAGGAAACGGAACAAAAGGAAAATGTGAAAAGAATGAAAAAGAGTAAGRTAGTGATTAAATTATGTATTACCTGTTTTGCCTTATGACTGTTGAATTTCTATTTCATTCATTCTCCTTCCCTGTGATAATATTCAGTGGCTAAAACTTACAAAGCTGTCATAAACTGAAATCCTTTCTTATTGCTGCAGCAAGCAATTCCAGCAATCCTTTCTTTTATGTAAGTATGGCACAGTTTCAGCATAGATTAAGRGTACCTTGGAATTCCTGTGCATGCTCTCTTCAGAAAGTGGACGAGTGTCACGAAGTGTCATCTTTTAAATACAGAGATTAAAACAAACACTATCATAGTACTATAAAGCTATGCAGCATGGCACTGAAATGCACTGCTAGTCATAAYGACTTGCTGATTTGCTCCTTTTCTTATATGTATTTGGAAAATATAAATCCTAAGCTCACTATAGTGAATATAAGTTTGCATTTAGAAAGTTGTGTAGCAAGGATGCTCATGCTTCTTTGCTCATGTAGCAAGGAAGGGATGCAATACATGTGTAGACACAGATACTACTGGATCTGTGCTACTGTCTATATTATTTTGTGGAACTGGCAGTATGCAGCGTTATCTGAAATGATATAGAAGCAGTATTTCCAGACCCAGGAAAAAAAAACAAGGATTAACTGCCAGATATCTTAGCACACATCAGAGCTTTGAAAAAATGAATGGGTTAAATTCTTGTAAAGCTACAGTTCAGGCGCAGTTGTGGGTTCTTTGCAAAGTTTCAGTGAAAATTTTGAAAAATAATACCAGATGGGAGGGGAAAGTAGTGAAAAGAGTAGRTGCTAAAAAAGAAAAAGAAAGCCCAGAAGTAGTAAAGAGAAGCCTTGAGGACCACAACAACTTCTGTTTGAGCCAACAGATAATCCTAATCCCCGTTCTCACCAAGAAACTGGGTCCCAACTGCTCCTTATGGGTTACTAGACAGTCACAGTTTAATTTTCCTGTCCTAAGGGCTGCAGTGTATCTTGGCATATGTAGTCATCTGAGACTTCCAAATTTTGAACTGCACCTATCCTTGGTATAGCTCCTTTGCACTAGGCTGGAGTGCAAGGASCACTCCAGGAGCAAGGAGTTCAACTTCATTTTGCAATTGAAAGTATGGGTGGATGGTATATACAGATACACACCAAYTCCAGCACACATTTTATGTAACTAAAACTGATGAAATCTCTGAAACTTTAGCTATTCCCTGAGTCTCCTGAATGCCATGTGTGGCTCATGGGTTTACGGGGAAAAGCTCAGAATTGATCCAAAGGCTGAGCAACAGCTCTAGTTCTGCAGAGGCACAATCCTTCCCTTAAAGACCAAATTWTGCACTTTCTGCCTGTAGTTTCTCCTCAAGTTTTGCCCAATGCTCATGCCTGCCTCAAAATGCAATACAAMAAGAAGTATGCGTGACATGTTAAGCCACTACGACAGTTCAGCAAACACCAGTCACACAGTTGCTGACTTCATTTTTTATTGTATTTCCTGTAAAAAGATTTTTGAAAAATGTCTTATTCACTGGGAAATTCATGGCCAGCTGAGCCTTCAGGCTGATTATCTCATCATCAGTTACTTCATGTTCTACTTGTGCTCAATTTTAAGGCCTGATATTTTAATTCTGTAAGGCTATGGGCAACAGATAGTTCTAACATTAGCATCAGGACACTGATGATTACACTATAGCCTCATTAGATTCAATCTTGAGAGCTTCTGACTGTCTCTTTCCAAGATCCTCATCACAGGAGCCTTCAGGACTGCTCCCTGAATCAGCCAAAGGTCCTCTCTCATTATAAAGCCACTTCAGCCACAAGATTGCTGGTCACACACTGTAGCCAAAGATCACAGTGAGAGGTGGCCATCACTGGCTAGCTCTAAATTAGATTACACTTAGCGATAATTTTTGACACTCAATGGAGAGAATGGCATTGAGCCCATGTACTGAGGACATCTATGAAGAAAATCTCGATGGTCAAAAGTGACCAGAGTGTCCATGGCTAGGTAAGCTTATTCACGAGACCTCTCAAGAGACCAACAATTACTTTAGTGTCAGTTCCCCAATAACACACTAGTCACACTTGTAATTTTGATTTCAACTGTCTTTGAGCTAGAGAAACTTGTATTTGCCAATACAAGCTGCTGCAGAGCTTCTCATCAAAGTCTGTTTTGCCCTGCAAATGCCCAGCTGCTCAGACAAAACCATCTGTGGTCACTGACCACCTCAATTTCTGCAGAGCTCAGGGTACTTCTGCAGGAGTCTGTCTCCTTTCCACTGAGTTCACCCTGCAAACTTGATTTCCATCAATACATTTTCCTTTGCAACACAGGTGAGCAGGACTATCCGGAGGCAGCCCCTGGCATTCGGCAGCCTCGTGGCAACTCATTCCACCGAATCACAGACATGCAAGACCACAAACCCYAGCACAAGTCATGGGGCTTTTAAATACCCTCTTCTCCATCAGCTGCCAAGAATGCCTGATCACTGTGTCAGATAGGCAAGGGAGCTTAACACAAAAACAGTTCTTTTTTTTTTTTTCCACTCTTGCTGAGTGACCTCTCTAAGTTTGCCTGGGGATAGGAGAGCTCCTAATTTCACTCGTTCCTTTTGTTTCTAGTATAAAATACTGCAATTAATAAAGATGTGAGGGAAAATCCAATTTTTGGCTTCTTGCTCCAGATGCTCCAGATACTTCTACATGTAGAGAATGGGTAACATTCACCTCCAGGCAGCTCTACATAATCTCACAAAGACCCCAGCATATCCAGAGTGATGTTAAAGAAACCATTAGCCTGGGTGGAGGTCTCCCTCTGTCAAGGAGCTGACATGAACTCAAGATACAACCTTTGCCATAGACTCATTTCTTCTTTCCCAACTCTGCTTTGCTCTAAGTCACTATTTTATTAAATTACAACTGCTGAGTTATTCTTGCTAGTTATCTCTCCATGTATCATCATTTGAGCCTAAAGARGAGCCTTATAGCATCATCAAAACGACAAGAAGAAAGTAAAAAAATAAAGATTCATGCCTCTCTGGTTTATTACAGTATCAGGCAGTATTTCTGGAGTATTTCTGGGATAAATGTTGAGACTGAAAGCCACTAAAGGAAAACTAGGGCTTTTAGTCAATCTGAGCAGGCATTTATCACTAGATGTGCTACAAATCAGCTGAGCCAGTTCCCTAAGCAATACAGCTATGATTAAAAATGACAAACAGAATAATGGAAAACATGAGAAGCTAAATTGCCCTACAATTGAATATAATTCAATTTACATATACTTCCCCTCTATGTGTATAAATACAATACTGAAAGGTCTCTCTGATCCAAGTAACAACAGCCTTAAAAGAAAAGCAGTTAATCAAAAATCATGAAACAAAACCACAGTGTAAAAGAGAATGGCACAAATGGCATGATTTCCTAAGAACCTTACTAGTATAGGCTGCTTTTTATCTTTCCCTTCAGCCAATATCTTTTCCCCTGTAAGTTAGTTCTGTGTCCAGATTCCCTCTGTTAAAAAAGCATCACTTCGGACTTGTTGGCTAATCAGCACCTCCCACTTGAAGAAGCTGCGTCCAATTTCACACTGTAATTCAATACCACCTCTAATTCAGAGAAGTAGTCTGCACATCCTAAATAATCCTGTTTTGAGATATTTATTCACAAAATGCAAGCTAGACATAATGCTCAGGGACAAAATGACTCATTAGTCAAGTGCAAATSGTCTTGGTTTAGCAGTGTTTTTTTCCCTACCAGCAAGACCATAGGTAGTGGGGAGGTCATCTCCTGTCTAAGCCCTTCTTCTGTTTCTCTCCTTTTGCCAGTTGAAAGGTGACAAATCTTTGGAAGTGGAGGAAATGGCTGTGAATGTTCAGAAACCATCCAGAAAATCAGTCACCAAGATGCTATGTAAGTAGTGTGGGGGGACATTCTGTATTTTACTGACCATGGACAAGAAGTTGCATGTTCTTGCTCAAACAAAAGATGCTATGTCCCTCAGTCCACACGTGGCTTCTGCAGCCTTGTAAGTAAAGTTTTCTGTCTCAGAGTATGAATGCTCTTTCTGGCACATTTCTTACAGCAGGATGTTCTTATTACATAATTAGATGTATACGGTTCTGCCCCAACTCCACAGAATATACGTTTCATAGGACTGTAATGTCCTTTCACAGGCTCTACTCATATCTCGTATAGGTCCTGCCAAGCACCGTTTATCACATATTGCTGTCTTCTCCATACAGACCTCCCCMAAAAAAGCAGAGACATAGGCAGATTTGCACAATATACAGCACCCTAGAGAATTTGTGCTCCAACCACCTGGAGTGTACTCATGTTGCTTCATAATTTAGGGCTGCCGTTAAGGCCAAGATCACCTTGCTACTGGGACAGTATTTAGGCAGCAAACATAAATCACTCTCCATACTTCATGCAACAGCACTCTTCTTTCAGGCAACTGAAGTCACCTCCTAAACTAGGAACTTGCACTCAAGCCAGGATGAAATTCTGTCCCTGATGACTGTGACCACAGCAGGATCCAACGCTGGAATGGGTTTGCAAGAGTCCTCACCAGGGCTGTCACAGGCACATTGTCCATGGAAACAAACATTTCATGCTCAGTAGCATATCCAGCCAGGCTCAGCACTGGAGAATGGCTCCCATGGGCTCATCCTGTGCCAGGTGCTGTACAAATAATGGCAGATGCAATAAAACCTATGGCACAAACCTTGCTTTTCCTTCATGACATACTCAGAGGCCAAGGGATCACTGTGTACCAAGTACCTCAAATAAATCCTTGTGTCTTATTGACAGCTTATTAGATTCCATGTAAGCCACATTACCTGGCAGCTGTCTGCTTGATCCAAACCTCATTGGGAGCCTGTGCATTGATTTATCAAATACAGAAATCACTGGAAAGCTTATTCTTTTAGATGGAAATATGTTTTCCAGTTAGCACTGCAGAGAGGCAGAAGGATTGGCACAGATTGTGAAACAGTAAATAAAATAGTTATCTCTAGTCTTTCATCTAGTTTTCTGAATCACCTCTGCTCAGCACAGGCTAATGAGCCATATCATTCCATAACTGACTGCTTTTTCTTTCTCCCCTTTCTCATGCTAGTTGTCCTCGTGATGGTTTTTGCTATTTGCTGGGCTCCATTCCATATAGATCGGCTCTTCTTTAGCTTTGTTATGGAATGGACTGAGCCTCTGGCTAACGTATTCAACTTAATCCATGTGGTATCAGGTAATTTTTTTCTTTTTCATTTGCCTRGGGGTTGGAAAAGCAGATTTGTAAGCAGCTGACCTGAATATGTAGTCATTTTAATTTTAGGTAATGACAGATGAAAACTGATAAATTGAAGCTGCTTCACAATTACATTCCTTAGAATTTTCCACTAGCCATCACTGAATTTTTTTTCCATGAAATACACAATGGGTTCTCTAAAGAGTTAAAAGAATCCCAGCTGCAGAAATGTTTTTTCTCCAATGATATTGAACACAATGCCAGTAGAGAGCAATGGACAACATCCCTTGAGCTGTATGCCACAGCGTTCCAGTTACCACCCACCCTTCTGGGTCTCTTTCCCAATGTTGCTACGTATATTGTTAAAAAGCAGAGAGAACGAAGCTGGAAAACACCAAYTGCACCATCCATCCAGGTAGCATCTTTCAGCCACATGGCAAACTGCAAAAGGTTACAGACCTGCTCTCTGGAAGACTGCTCAGTGGAAGCAGCTGGAGCAAAACAGACATTAAATTACCAGCATCATCCGCTAGCACTGGAGTATGTTTCCAGGGCTTGCACAGAAAAGCTTCTAKAGGGTTTGGTAGCCAGTGAAAAGAACTGTGCGTTAAATAAAATCTGCATTCAAGGTCCTGCAACTTTCGCTCTGGGTATGTTGTCCAATATGGTTATTTGGATAGTTGCAAAGAAAAGGGAGGGATATATGCCACRTAATTGCCAGCTGTTTGTCCTCCAGAAAATGTTCACAAATGACCAGTGCTGCCATTCAAGTGCTTCTGATGAAAATGCAYCAGCAGGTGCCATCTTCTAGTGGGTTTCTCGAACAGTGAACCTTACCCAAACAGCACATCTCACAAACTCCTATACTGAATGATCCAACCAAATGTTTATGCTATTGCCAACCATAACTTTAAGGCCTTCTCAAGAAGGTGTCTTATTTCAGGTTGCCATGGGAGAACACTAAATGTGGTTGTTTGGCAGCTCTAACAGAGCCAATCTTGTGCAATTTGGCTGCTTGTGTTGTAGCAAATTAGCACTCCTTGGCTGGAAGTTATCATTTAGCGTTTAGCAGCTCTAATGTGAAGGGCACCAGCCGCTCAAATCAGTCCTGGGGGGCCCAGGGCTTGGCTGGAAGCTGGTCAGTAGAGCTCAGCAGACAGCCAATTCCTGAGCAGCTGGTAATGATGGGCTCCATTTAATACTCTATCACTTTCTTTCCCTGGGTGCTGCAGTGTCTCATGTTGTCTTGGCAAGAGAGCCCTCCACCTCTACCTAGACGGCTGCAGGCAGAGATGCAGTGGTCCCTGCCTCCATCCTCACACCCAAACATGGTTAAACAATACTGACAATGGAGACATTTTACTTCTCTGACATCATTCCAGCCACAAGTGAAGGTTCTCTCTCCATTTAACATCCACTTTTGCTCTCCTAGGTGTTTTCTTCTATCTGAGCTCTGCTGTGAATCCCATCATTTACAATCTCTTGTCCCAGCGCTTCAGGATGGCTTTCCTCTGTGTGATCTCTCCTCACTGCAAGCACTGTGCCCCTAGACATCCCACCAGCAAGATTCCCACCCAGCAGAGCATCTTTATGGTTGAGGACCACAATCTGGCAGACTCAGCTGAAGACACGAGTCTCCCTGGCACCTACAGGACCTCTCTCAGCAGTTCTCAGCTCTCCACTGGCCTGTGACCTTCCGTGATGCCATCAGGTGGCAAAGAAGTGAAGGAAAATAACTTTATGAAACAAAGAGACACTCTTAAGATTGCAGCAAGAAGAGCTCCCAGGCTGCCTCCTGTCTGGTTTCATGAATTGGCAGGTGATTGACATCCACTATATTACCCTCAAGCTAATAGGAGGGCTGGAAATCTCAGTTTGCTGGCTGTAAACTTCCAGTGAAGAGCTGCTTTACACAAAGGGCAGAAATATTCCCAATGTTACCAGCACAGAGAGACACTGCTTGGCCARTCTTATTGAATGACTTCTGAAGCAGCCACTGGCAGGGGCTGAAGGCATCCCCAGTGTGACTCGTTTGCCTGAGAAGCAGCTAGAGTGAGGATCTGCTGAGGGCAGATATCCAGATGGGATAAGGCCTTTTCCGCATGGGAAAGAACCTCCTGTCTCGGAACACCAGACATCTCCCTGTGAATCACGGCCTCCCTGCAAGCAGCTCATTTCTCACRCTGCTTTGTGTTGGGCTGTTGTATCCGTGTCTGTCTGCCTGATCTGCACCTAACCCTGCCTATGTGGGCTCTGGCAGGCCCCTGCCCAGTCCCATGTCCTGCAATTTCCAGCAGTTTCCCATCTCTGTTTGAACCTCAGTTTCCATGTATTGCCTTTACTAGTGAATCTTTGTCGTTATGCTTCAGCAAAATCCACACCAGGTGGATTACAGGTCAGAGATTTATGTGGGGCTAGAAACCACCAGGAGGCAGCCTGGAAAGCATTCACAACACAGGCAATTTTTAAATGCCTGCAGGGTCAGAGAAACTCATGCAAAGCTAATAAAAATAGAGAGTTTTGCAATGATTTTGCATGTAATGAATTCAGTTTTTGCCTCAAAGCACAACGTAAGAACTGGGAAACTCTCCTGGGCCCTAGTTATGCACACAGATCCTAAAGGCAGCGCACATAAATCTACACTCACCACATCCCAAGCACTGCTGCCTGCAAAGTTGGGACCCTGAAGAGTTTTGTAAAGGGAGGCCAAGGTGAATCTTTTATATGAGAGAGGATTTTGTGACCCACGTGTCTCAAAGCTCATTTGCTGCATTTCGGAGAGATGCATCCCTTGTGCATCACTACATTGGGCCAGGCTCAGCGCGCACTTCCAGACACACCTGCTGTGTGTTGTCAAGGGGCCAGAGCCCACCTATGTATCACAGAATTACCACAGTGACAGGACCGTAGTTTCCAAAAGATGATAAACTGTAAGCATAAAGGCTCCYGTCTGCAGCACTGGGGACATTTATCATTGCAGAGGGAACAGGTTATATTCTTGCTCTAATGGTTTCCTGTTTCCCAGAAATCTCTTGTTTTGGCCTCCATCGGATGCAAATTTCTAGACAAGGTGAGACCAGGGGTCTCATCCTAGCTGGTGTCTCCTCTTTTCCTACAACTCAAGGGAAACTTTAGCCTATGTTTTCTGTCAAACCCATTCTAGCAGCTGTAATCTTGAGAAACAAGTCAAGGAAAATGCCACAAACATGCACAAGGCCTTGGAGAGGGAAGGTAATCCCTGCTCCCTGAAGACACAGCTGAAATACTTTGCCACCCCCAAGTGGACACTCGTGAGAGTTCAGTGCCATTTATATCTGTAACATTTCTGCACTAACATTTTCCTCTACTAGTCATTAAAGTGCATTTTCCCTCTAGACTTGATGCCAGTGGTGCCCTGCTACCCGCAAGCTGCTGTGGTCCCAGCTCTCCCAGCCATCGCAGGGAACCGGCCTTTCTGTGACCAACAACCAGGGGCCCGTGTCCTATGCAGGCACTAACCTCCTTTTCCATGCTCACCCCGTCCCWTGCTTGCAAGACCCTCCAAACTGATGCCAGGGGACTTGTTTTTATCTTAGCTATGCACAACTAAGAGTAAGTCATCTCCTCTGCTATATCTGATATCTGGACAACGCAGTCAGGAAATGGCACGGTCTGACATATTCGCTCATCTGGTTTCATGGCTACAATCCAGTGTTTCTTAATTAGATGTGAGAAATAAGTTTGCAGAGTGTTTATCCACAAGAGGCAGTTGGTGTCTATTAAGTTTTTCTTGCCAAAAGGTCAGTGCTTTAGTGTGTTATTTATCACTCTGCTTTTGTATTTATCTGGCTGGTTTTTGAGAGCTTGCCACAAACATGGTAATACTGGGAAGARAGATAGATATGTCAGGAAAGCCCACTAAATTATTTTCCTTATATATTCAGCAGCTTTCATAGCCAAGTGCTGAAAAACATTGGCAACAGGACAAAAGAAACTCCAGTTGCAAAGAGAGAACAACTCACTTTTTCCTCAAAAGAGGTTTGGGGTGATGAAAATATATATATCTGAAATCAACCATGACTTCCTAGGCAGAATTGTCTATTGATTTATTTCTCTGCYTCTCTTTCCCTGTGGAGAGCATGCAAATGTGTGAGCAGAAAGCATGCTAGCAGGGGCAATGCTCCAGCACAGTGAATGAAACATAGTTTGAAATGTACTGCAAGCAAACAAGAAAAGGAGGGAAGAACTGCTTGAGTTGCCAAGGAATGACACTGAAATCTAATGCCAGCTTATTGAAAAAGCATTATGACATTAGGTAGACAATTCTGTTAAGAGACTTTAAGAGACTCTCACATGAAGAGACTTTTGGAAACTACTGTGTTCTCATGTGGTTAAGCCATGGCTTATCTGTAAGCTAAATGCACACTTCAGCAGCAGAGCTGCTGAATCTGTATAATCTGAATATAAATTTACCAGGACCTCTCTCTCTACAGCTGGTCTCTCCTCTAGCAATTCCTGTGCGCTGGTCTCTCTGCTGTGTCTTCTTCTTACTCCATGAGTAGCTGAAGACAGAAATTATCTGGCAGCTCTGCTAGCACAAGTGCAGGATGCCTGAGGACTTACCAGCAATCCCAGTACTTAAAAAAGATGCAGACCCCACCAGCTGTACTTTATATGCATGAAAACAGCACTAATCCCAGGTTAGTTTGCTGCTTCCAAGTGCTCTGTACAACTGTTTCTCCTGGGCATCAGGAAGGAAAGGGGTTGGTAGAAAAATAGGCAGAAAAATTGTTGTGGCCAAGAGAAGGCCCCAAAGCCAAAAAGCTTACCACGCTGCAAACACTCTTCTTTGCAGGTTGTTTTCTAGCTGCACAATGGCCAGGCTGGCTCTYCCATCATCAATTGCTTCATTTTATTTGCCCCTCATTATGGCATTATTATATCCTCATTATGCAAAGCAAAACATAGTGATAAARAAGTACAATAACCTGGGCTTTTTCTTTCTCTAACAAACTGATGTGAAAYAAGGGGAAAGGAAAAGGGAATCAAACAGCCAAGGATTCTCCCGGTTGAGGCTGATGTAATGATGGCAAATGTCCATCAGAGGGAGTGGAAGATAAAACAGGACAAGAAATCCTGCAGAGAATTTGGGCTTTGGAGGTTTCACTGTCCAAGAAAATAAATGTCTTCTGGGCTTTTAGGGTAGTTCACATACTGTTAGGGCTCAAAGATTAAAAGACAGTGACCATCTTTACATAACTAAGGACTGTTTTTTCTGAAACAGAAAGAAAAAAGCAATCTGTTTGCACAAAATAAGTGTGGATCCTAATATAAAAACTCACCTGGAGACTCAAGACACTGATTTTCTTGCACATTTCTTTCCATCTAACATTTTGGCTAGTGAAGAGGTTGCTTTGGTCACATCCCAGACRTTGTGGCCCACAGCTATAATCAGACAGTCAATATACAGCAAGGAAATTCAACAGTCTCAGACACTGAACACAGAAATTACATAGATGATGCTGGAAACCCATAGGAAATTCAAATGGAAAAATAAAATCACATTAAGCTCTATCACTTGTCAGGTTGCAGCATTTCTTATTTTGGCTTATGTCTCTCTCAGACTGTGATCCACTTATTGATACCAAAGACAGTGCAGGGGTGCTCTGACTCGTAGACAGGGATGCAGCGCAAATGAGATGTCTCCCGGGGCAGAACAATGCTCCAGAAGAAACTGCTTCCAAGCTTGGCGTTTTCTTTATTTTTACAGGAGGGCAGGCAAGATACTTGGCTAGACACAGAATGTGCTAAATACGTAACTCAGTGCAATGGAAAGGTTCCAAGAGAAGTCGTCTCAGGCTGCTGCTGACTGCAGTGCAGGTGAGTTGGGCAGTGCCGAGCAACTGCAGCAAAAACCTCAGGACAGCTTCACGTTTTTAGAAAAGAGAAGCACTCCCAGTCTTACAGTGAGAAAGAAATAAAACATCAACACAGAACCACGGAAGTGTAGTTATTATTTATTTAATTATGCACAGACTGGGGTTGCTGTAGTTTCCTGGTGCTGGGGAAATATTACAGGCTGAGAGATTTTCAAAATATGAATAAACTTAGTTAGTACCACATATCTCAGCTTCTCCAAAGCCCTGCACACCATTGGTTCCTCACAGATCTCATTAACTTCTAGTTTCACCAGCACAAAAGCAGAACACAAATAGCAGCATTTATAAATTTSTGTTACAGGAGCACTGGCAGGATCCTCCAACAGCAGGGAGGCTCACACAACACACGGCGGGTAACAAACTACCATTCATCAGTGGCTGTACAGTAACTACCCTAACGTGCCCTTAGCCTGAAGTAAAGCAAATCAATCTGCATTACCTTGCATTCAGCAAAGCTGAACAGGCAGTTGACATCAATCCAGTCACGTACAGCACTCTCATGTGTCTCAACCTGCAGACGAAGAGCTGGCTGGTGTGGTGTTCCCAGTCTGTGTCTGCAACAAGAACTTCTCCCTAAGGTTGCCTCTGGCAAGCAGCCTACCCATCTCCAGTAAAACTACATTACCACTCCAAAAACCAGCAATATCTGCTACACAACTTAGTCTTAGCTCATTCCACTTTTTCTTTTAGAGTCTGTTGCACTAGTAGCAAGGCACACTTGCCCCAACTGGGTCTCTTTAGCCCCAACTCTCTCCCCTCCCACAGGGAACAGATATATTAAAAAATCCTCCCCATCCACCCCTAGCTTTGCAGCTGCTAAGGAATTCCACTGAGGATTAGTCTTTTCCCTGCAATTTTATTTGCCAGCTGTAGGGTTTTCACACTGTATTTGTATTCCAGTCCCGATTTCAATTACCTGGCTAACCTTTTCAATTTTCACAGAGAGTGAGAATCAGAAAACAGCAGGTCCCTTATTACAGCTCACACTGTCAAAGAATGTTTCACCCCCTTTCCCTCCCCCATGTTTGCAGGGAAGCTCTGTCAAATTCAAATAAACTTACTGATCATAACTTGTCTATTTACTTATGCTTTGTTGACTGTTAGGTATTCCGGTCCCTTCTCCAGTCTATTCTTTTTTTTTTTTTTTGTCCATCCTCCTTTTGACTTGAATTGCTATTTTTCACATCTAGATTTCAACTTTGGACCCTTGACTCCAATGGGAACTCTCAACAAGGTCAAATACAGGAGGAGGGGAATATCTTATGCTTCACGAGGGACTATTTGCTGTCCTTCAGTTTAAAAAAAAAAAAATAAGGAGAAATATGACACCACCCAGTTCTTATTAAAAGGTCCCAGGGCATTTTTTCTCAGGCTYAGGGGCATTATATGGTTTCCCTCAGACCCAGAGCAAGCCAGATGTAGCTCCACCTGCTCATCCCAAACGCACTGCTCTAAACTGTACTGCCCACAGCTGTCACCTGCAAAGTTGTCTCCTTCATTCTTCTGATGTCTTGTTATCATTTCTATGGCTATGCTGATATAATTTGATATCATTTCTATGTCTGCCTGTCACTCAGCTATATAGTTCCTAAAAAAAAAAAGATTTGATTCTTTTCAAATAAGAATAAGAGCTGTTGTTCTTACCATTAGAAGATGACACCTTGCTTGCTGCAAAGGGAAGGAAAGCTGGATGATTCCTTAYGCATTCCTTGCACATGTGGCTCCTCTTCATTCAGACAAGCTCTTCTGCCCAGTGCTTTGCTGTCCTGCAGAGTGGAACCACAGGTCAAACTGGGATGTGCTGCCAATGTCTTGCAAATGTACAGATGTAAACCATGCAAACATACATGATTTAACAAGCCTGGATGCTGGCAGCAGTGCTGCTAGCGGACGAGCCTTCCTGGGTTTCTGATGGCCAAGCCATGAAGTTAGTTCCCCAGCTTTACCGGCCAACACCAGCAGTCCATGACCGCTGGGCGTCAGCCTTGTGCTATGGAAAGAATAAGGGGGCTGCCTGTGCGGCGCACACGACATCCCAAGGGAGAACTTGTTCTGGCTCCCTCAGTGCTGAACTTCCATTGAAATTTACTTCAGGTTTTCCTTTCTTTCCACACAGAAGTATCTCTTAGTCTGTTGAGGGACAAGCGTGACAGATGGGAGACTGGGGCTGTTTGACTGCTGAGCACAGKGCAGGTTCACAGGAGGAGTCCAGAGTGCTCTCTGGGTCACTGTGTTCAGAGGCATCATTCACCTGGCCAGGCAGGTGTGACATCCCTCTCATTTCATGGCCTGTTCATAAAAACTGATCTGGAAAAATATGCCAGTTCTTAGTATTTTGCTCKTTAGTTGCGTTTCACAAGACTTGGCAGACTTAAGACTGGCATCATAATTGTATTGATACCGATCCAGGACCAACACAACATACCTAATTCTGAGCCATGTTCCTTGTCAGGAATTCCTTTTTTTTTTTTTTTAACCGGACTCTATGCTCCTAACTTGAGACCCACCTTGTCCCATGCTTTCTTTGAGATTCTCCAAGAGCACTGCAACATAGAAAATACATACTGAGGTGTCCAGCTTTAATCTCCTCTGGTTATTATTCCACACATCAGTCCTTATTTTACCTTCATAGTGACTTTATTTCTTTCTCTGTATCAAGGACAGCAGAGCTGCATTCTGCCTTGCCTCCAACCAGGCCCCATGTGAGGTGAATGATCCACACACATTCACAGTGGCTCCAGACTGAACTGGCAGCTATCACTGAATGACCCCTCTTTTCGCCTTGGGGAAGAYAGTCACCAAGATGCCTTAAACATACATTCCTTCTGATTTGATGTAGCAGATAAAGAGACCTTTTTTTTTCAATTTTTCTTCTAGGAAGGCAATAGAAATACTGATCTGCTCCCACTGGCTTCCTCCTCTGCAAACAATCAGTTCTCYTTTGGTGTTAAAGATACTGCAATTATGCATTCTAAAAACCAGGAGAATCACAGGGGTCAAGACACCTTTAGATCTCCTACCCCTCATTTCCATTAATATTCCTGTCTGGATGTGAACCACGTCTTCCCAGCAAGAGGAAATCAGTCTCTGCCTTTCCATCCCTCTCTGCCTGAGCTCACCTCTCACCTCAAAATAGCCACATCTTTCTAAAGTCTGACAGCTCCTAAGAGCGACTGGAACAGATGTGAAAAACAGCCAAGCCAGGACACACAATGTGATGGAGAGTGGGGCCTCTGCAGTAACTCGACCAAATTGCTTCTCCGTAATTTCGTAATGAGTCCGTAGCATGGCTGTGGCAACGGACTCACTGCCAGGAAGGAGTGACCCTAACCAGCCTGGGACATTGTCAACAGTACCCAGCAAGGAGACAGTCAGGCAAGCAAGGGGCAGACGGAGCTTGCTGCCTTTTTTCTCACTCTGCAGCAGCTTGGAGGTGCTGCCATACTGCAGCACACCAGAAATTGCATTAGCAGAGTAGGATAAACCGCTGCCAGTACGATCCATACCAGCAAACTACATGCCAATGAATACAGGGAAGGTGACCCCCAAACTCTTGTCTCTCCTTATTAACCAGCTTTGCATGCAGAGATGAAATAGGGTAGTGAGGAGAAGGGTGCAAAACTCCTGTCATTCTACCCTCGCTAGAGGTCTGGCCCTCCTAAGAAATTAGACACTTTCTTCTATGTTGTTTTTTCCCTCTGTTTTGCTCCAACACCTGTACTAATTACTATGGGGGGAAATGCAACATGTCCATCCCTTCACCAGGCTGTTAGGGGCCTATGCAACTGATGGTCTGTTACCACTTATGGGGCACTAATTTTTCTATAGGCATTCTGTACTTTCACAAATGGGACTGAAACATTTAAATCTAGCAATATGTTACAGTAGATGGAGCCTTGGTTTACTTCCAGACTGGACCAGCCCTGGAATAGGGTGGAAGCATGCTGAAGACAAGAAGCTTGAACCAGGGATAAACATAGCCCTGGCATTTAAGGAAGCTCTGGAAAGAAGGAGCTAAGGAAGGTCTAGGGAAAAAAATAGCTGCATGGAAGTAGGGCAGTTGCTATTTTGTGAGGAGGTCTCAACTTCATATATATCAGTGCATCTGCTCCATTGATATGCCCAGCACATTTGGAGTCAAGATGTGCTCGGCCTTCCTAGGACTGTCTCTAGCTCAATCTCCTGCCACTGGCCTCCTTGCTGCTGGCTGAGGTCTAGCAATGGTCCACTGATGAACTTCTGCTCTGGGCACACCTGGTTGAACTGAGCCACACTGGTGCACCACTCTATAGAAAACCTGAAGGAAACACTGTTGACAGAAATGCTGAAGAAAAAAATTCTATGGATATTTTTTTTCTTGTTTGATTCTGGCAGGAGAAGATGCTTGATTCATTTATCAAGCTGCCTGCAGTTCCCATTTCAAGGCCGATGAAGCTATCACAAATACTGAGCCAAAAGAAATCCAGTACTCTGGAAGGTGTTTCCAGAGCAGCTTAGTAAATAAAGGCAGAGAGGGGAAGAAAACTCATCAGTGCAATTTTTGCTTTTCCATTACCCTTCATTTTGTAGCATAAATTTAAATAAATGCATGAACCGGGCTGGTGGAATCACTCTTATTCTCATATTCATTCTCCAAAAACTCCTGCCTGCACATTCATCTTTCTACAGTTACCTATGTTTTGCCAGTCACCCTCCAAAATGTCCTCTCAATTGCCGCTTTGAAATAATATAGGCATATCCATCAAGCTCTACAGACCCCCAGAGATACTTCAAAAAAATACATATATTCCTGGTTGCTGAAAACTTTACACAAACTCCAATGCAATAAACCTCAACACAACAAAACATCTGGGTGTCAGCTTGTTCTGTCCACACATAGCACCGTTCCCTTCCCAGGGCCCAGAGAAGACCTTGAGGCTTGCACCAAGCTTTGGTCCTTCACAGTGGACATATTGCTCCTGGCCTCATCTTTGTTCACCTAGGGATTAAGCACTGTTTTCCACTTTTTCCATTAAAATCCACCGGTAATTGGCAAGCTGGGAGACTTCTCCAGTGGCTTTCTATGCTATTGGTTTCTGRGGCATGGCAATGAATTTTCTGTATTTCCTTTCAATATATTCAGGGTATCAAGAGCTCATAGACATTTGGATTTGTAGGCTCAGGTGTTAGTTTTTAAACTCTTCTAGAGGTTCTCCTTATATTTCATTAAATCACTGGAGCGCTTCTTTCAGTCTGATTCTTTTTGGCTCATTTTGATTAATGCTTATGGACAAAGGCAGTTATCACTGAGACCCTTTTAGCAGTACAGAAAACAAAGGAGGAATTATAGACAGAAGAAAATATTAGAAGATCAAAAGTAAAAGATTCAGAGAGAAGTGGAGGGAAAAAAAACACAAATTCAGAAGGTCACAAGTAGAACAGAAGAGCAAAAGAGAACACAAGGAAAATGAACAAAAGAAGCAAGTGAGAATAAGGATAACAGAAAGGGAGATGATAAGGAATGAAAGGGAAGCAAGGAAAGGGAAAGGAAGGAAGAAGGCACAGAAATATGCAAGAAGAAAACCCCACAACGCTTTCCATGAATGCTTCATCAGATGCAAATGGTATCAACAATAGTAGGGCCTCTCAGCTCTAGAGCAATAGGTGAAATAATTCAAGCGCTATCTTCAGATTAAAAGGGCAGTGAAAGGAGTTTGATTTCTTTCTCAGTCTTTCTTGTCCTTATATATATATAGGAAATAACCTCATTCGTATTACTCACATTCGCTCACATAGGCTCATCACCACAAAAATACAAATAAAACAATGAAACCTTCCTCCAGTGAAGACAGACAATAAATCAGAGGCCTCAGTGCTTTCTCATTCTTGCAGCTGGGTCCTGTCTTTGTGTTTATTTATTTTTAAATTTTCCCTCCCTCCTTGCACTCTGGAGACCATAATCCTAAAAAATGTCAGGTCATCAAGTTAGCTGTGAATAATTCATGAGATAATTATAAAACATTTACACCAGAACATTATCATCTTGCAAGTGAAAAAAAAAACAAATACATAATGTCCTCCAACATTGGTGGCAAATATCTTTTAGCTATGATGTTCCTTTTTGCAAAAAATAAATGGAATTAATTTTCAATACAGCTTTTGCTACCTGCTAGCATCTAAAAACACCCTGATGTGGATGGGAATGCACAAATACATACATATACACACACATATAATATACACATATATGCATATGTGGAGAGAACAGATGCAGTTTCACTCCTCTCCTAAACAGTCTGAGGTATAAGTGACATAAGTACAGCTGATCAAGTGATAGACAGAATGTATGTTGACAGGCTGTTATGATCTACACACACAGACACATACATACATAGACACAGCTATCTATCCACAYGGAGGAGGCTGAATCGTGTGTGTACTCATGAAGACAGTCAGGCGTATGTACACGTATATGTGCAGGGAGGATAGGCAGAGACCTGCAGCAATTTAGGCCAAACACTCAGGATTTGCTGTAGGATGCATATTACACCTTCAACTACCCTTCTAATGCAAAGTGTAAATTTTCTCCCAACCTCCAGAAGTGAATCTTAGGTCACATTTTGTTCTCATTACTATAGGCTAGAGCTTCTCTGAAGTTAATATAATCACTTCAGATAATAAATTTTAGCTTTACACTGGTGTTACTGAGAGCAGAATTTGGCCTTGAATCCACAGACAGATTAAAGAGTGCCTTTTGTGGCTAAAACAGCTCCTAGAAACGGATCTC